ACGCCAGACAAGAGGACAGTATGCGGGGGTACTAGTGGCGAAGTACAACCGCATAACTGAGAAAATGCGTGAAACCATGAGTGTGGGAGAGGTCGAAGCTAGGATGGAATTCCTTTCGACAATACTCAAGGTTCAGTTGGCTAAGGAGACTGGGAGGAGGGACGGACTGCCTAGAGAGCGATCGTTCCTCGAGTGTGCCCAAGAAATGATAGATCTGAGTGCAAGAGAGGAAGAGACTCGGATGGAAGTAGAGGAACCAGGGTGGACCCGAGTGAATGACAGACGACCCCGGACAGCCCAGATAGGGTGGAAGAAGAGGGAAATGAAACACCCGAACGGAGAAAAAGCCACGACGGGCGAGAGAAGATCCGGACAGTCCAGGCCTAGGAATGGACCCCGGAGGGAAGACAGAAAATGTCACGGGTGCGGGAAACCAGGACATTTGGTAGCACAATGTCCGCGCACTAGATGTTTCGAATGCGGGACCGAAGGGCATATTGCCAGACAGTGCCCATACATGTTTCGCAGGAGAGAGAGACCTCTAGATGAGCCAATGGAGGTGAACGCACAAAAGTTGAAAAGACGAGCTAGGATGCAGCAGAGAGACGGATCTTCGGAAGAGGCAACCGAGGAGTCGGGGACGTCGGGAACGGAGACTGATGAACCAGCCAGCAGTGGAGGCGAAGGAGGCAGGAGCAGCCAACGGAGCGAGCAACGACGAGCGACGGCGGTAAGGAGGAAGCGAGGCGGCATCTGAGAAGGGTGTCAGCAGAGAGGCGACCGCACAGCAACCTGCAACAGTATTAGAGGTAAGCCATGCTGGTTGCCGATTATTGAAGTAGACGGGGGAGTGAAGTGTCTCGTGGACACAGGGAGCTCGAGTACTATCTTGACTCGGGGGGCGTTGGGGAAAGTGTGCGGGAGCGAGAGGGTACTCCGGATACAAAACTGTGGCTGCCAGCTAATCACTCTGGGTGGTCCCTGTAAGGTAGAAGGGGAAGCGACAATTACGCTTGATCGGTGGGCAGGGAAAAAGGGTGAGCTAAAGGTGCATGTGGTAGAGAGCATGACACGGGAGTACCAAGTCATAATAGGGTGTGATCTGCTAGGACAGGTAGGGGTAAGCATTAGAAACCGTGGAGGAGCTTGGAGTATTAGGCTGGGAAAGAGGAAATTTGGATGTATAGGGGTCGCGAGAGAAAGAAGGGTGCGGATAGGAGCGGTGAACAGGGTGGAGGACTGGAGAAAGGCGTTACAAGCGGAGTTCGAAGATATTTTCTTCAGGGAGGGCGAGGTATTGGGGGTAACAGGGAAGACGGTACACGAAGTTCCACTGAAGCAAGATAGGGTAACCTACGTAAAGGAAAGGAGATACCCGCAGGCGCTGAGGCAGCATATTCGGGAGGAATTGGAAAGCCTAAAGGAGCAAGGGATCATAGTCGATAGCACCTCGCCATTTAATAGTCCCCTGTGGGCGGTGAAAAAGAAGGCAGCGCCGGGGGATAATAAGGAAAAATACAGAGTGGTAGTGGACTATCGTAAGTTGAACGACAACACGGTAGACGAAAAGTACCCGATCCCCAGATTCGAAGATATACTCGATAGGTTGAGTGGGGCTGTGGTGTTTAGCACGTTGGACCTCAAGGCGGGATATCACCAAATACGGATGCACCCGAAGGATCAACATAAAACGGCGTTTACATTCGAAAGGGGGCATTACGAATTCACCAGAATGCCGTTTGGTCTGAAGAATGCGCCCATAACGTTTCAACGCCTGATGGACGAATTTTTGAGGGGTATCGACGACTCCGTATGTCAAGTATATATGGACGACCTGCTGATTTTTAGCAGAACGGAAACCGAACACGTGGGGCATTTGAGGTCGGTATTCGAAAGGCTGCGGCAATTCGGGCTGAAACTGTCAAGCGAGAAGTCCCTGTTGGGACAAACGCGGATCAATTTTTTAGGCCACACTATTTCTAGCGAGGGGGTCAGACCGGATGCGGCAAAGGTGGAAGCAATCACACGAATGGCGGTGCCACGGGACGTTAAAGGGATTCGTAGGCTTCTCGGGACGCTGAATTATTATAGAAGATTCGTACCTGAGATGGCAGAATACTTGGTACCTATCAATAACTTGCTGAAGAAAGGCGCGAGGATTGTGGTGACACCAGAAATGGAAAATAATATTCGGAAATGCATGGATAGGTTGCAGGCAGAACCCGTATTGGCGTTCCCGGATTTTGAGAAGCAGTTCAACATCACCACCGATGCGAGCGAATACGCGTTGGGGGCCGTTTTGTCCCAGGGCAGAAGTGAGGGTGAACGTCCGATAGCATACGCGAGCCGACGACTTACGAGCGCGGAATCACGATACAGCGCGTTAGAGAGGGAGCTACTCGCGATAGTGTGGGCCATCGACCATTTCAGGCCATACATATTTGGGAGGAAGTTTCGAGTCCACACCGATCACAAACCCCTTCAGTGGGTAGGGAAACTTAAGGAAACCTCTGCGAGGGTCACGAGATGGAAAGAATTCCTTAGTCAGTACAACATAGAGGTGGTGTATAAGCCGGGAAAGGAAAACGTGGTGGCAGACTGGCTCTCTAGGGCCATCATGATCAACGCGGTAGAAGAGGACGGGGGAGGTCCATCGCGGGACGTGCGCCAATTCTTGAGGGAATGGACTCCTGAGGGTGAAGGGGCAGATGATACCGTCAGTATAGAGGACAGGGAGGAGTCCCCGGAAGAAGATAGCTCAGCGGAGGAAAGAGCAGCGGAGATGGAGGAAATAGACGAAATCATCAACGACAAGCATAGACAGGTAATCTGGAAGACAAGGACAACAGGGATCATGAAAATAGATTACCGAAGATACGGGAAAAGTAGGATTCGCGTCATTTGGTCGCAACCCGGGGTGAGCGAGGAGCAAATCCGTACGGCACTGAAGGACGCCACGGAACCGGGAAAGACGCACCATCTCTATGTTGGGAACAACACGGTATGGGAGAAAATAAAGCGGATGTGGAGATCCGAGCGAATAGGCATGGATAGAACGATCATCCGGTGCAAGTATGCAGTGGAAACCGTACAGGATGAGGAGCAACAACAAGCAGTCACATTGGCATACCACCAGGGGAAGACCAACCACCGAGGCGTCAACGAGACGTTGCAGGCATTACGGCGAAAGTATTTCTGGTGGGGAATGAAAAAATCTATCCAAGTAATCATCGGGAAATGCGAGGTATGTATGCGCACAAAGTATGATCGACACCCCCCCAGAGGAGTTCAGGAAGAGACACCTACAGGGAATATGCCGCTACAAGACCTCCAGATTGATACATTCACCTGGAAAGGGTTCAAGTGGGTCACGATCATCGACACCTTTAGTAAAGTAGCTATGGCACATCAGGTCATGGACAAGTCTGCCAATGCAGTTGCGGAAGCCCTACAAATCTGGGTGCAGTTTTACGGAGTTCCCGAGAGGATCACATCAGACGGGGGCAGAGAGTTCGACAATACCGCGATTAGGGAGGAGGTGAAAAGGTTAGAGGTTGTGTGGCATTATAACACCCCGGACACCCTAAGAGTAGAGGAGGAATCGAACGATTGCACAGCACGTTGAGTGACCACATCCGTGTATATCAGGGGAGAAAGGGTTGGAGCCGGATGTTGCGATGAAGAAAGCCGTAACAGCTTATAACCATTCGATCCACTCCGTAACGGGATTTTCACCTGTGGAAATACTATTCGGGATGCGCAGGCCAAGGAGAGATTGGGGGGAAACAACGACCAATGAACATCTCGTAGAGCAAATCCAGAATACTAGGGTAGAGGTAGAAAAGACGTGGGGAAAGGTAACGGGGAGAATTAAGCGGGAAAAGGAGAAGCGGGTAGCGCGGCAGAATGTGCAGGTACGTGACCGAATGGGAGAATTAAAAATAGGAACAATAGTGTACCGTAGAATTGGAACCAACAGAGGGAAACAATTGTTACGGTACGAGGGCCCATTCAGAGTGGTTGCTATTAGGGAGCATAATCTGCTAACCATTGAAAGCATTAACGAACCTAAGAAGAGGAGAACTGTTCATATTGAACAATTGAAGCTCCCAATGTTAGAACCGGTACATAAACCAATTGATTCGTAGTACCCTTATCGCGTATTATAAGAAATATGTTTTTTTTTGGTTTTTGATGATGTCATTTTTTTTTTGTTGTTCTTGTAAATAAAGATATAGCAATAAGTAGAGGCGATTGTAATTTTTATAGGATTAAGAGTTCTGTTCCATTGTTAATAAGACGTTGTGTGTTTAGTTTCTGTGTTTTATTTCTTTTTATTTATTTCCCGTTCCAGCGGAGTGGAAGTGAGTTTTGGTGTACTTTAAGTTATACTGGTACGAATAATTGTAAAGTGTTAAGGCTGATACCGGTGGCTCCGATCTAGGAAGTTATAAGTTTCCGAAAATCCTATTCGTAAACTGGTGGGGGGGAGATAAAGACCGGAGACTGGCGATATCAGCCTTAATACCATCTTGTAATGTAAATAAACATAACAATTGTATATAAGGCAGATTATTGAACGAAACTGTGATTAATTGCGATCTACTAAAGAGCTATCTTTTGAGGCAGTGTTTTGTGTTTTCGTTTTGTTCTAATTGTTCATAGCCATCTTATTGTTTTCTAGTGTTTTATCATGTTTTTTATTGTTGTTATTAGTTGTAAGTGTAAATAGTGTAAATAGATTGAAGTTTGGACAGGAGAGGTTAAGTAGTATAAATTTCGTGAAGGAGTTCTTGTTTGAAAAATTTTGAGTTCCGAGTGTTATATTGAGTAGAAGATCTCTAAAAGACCTTCCCAGGGAGCACACAGAAATTAACTTTACTAAATCTGTGTAAAAAAATAAATTTGTAAGTATAACCTGTTAAGTGATAAGAAATATTATTTAAGTTATTAAGTGTCTACTCTTTAAAGACTTGTCCAGGAGTAATATTATAGACAACATGGAGGGAGATGAAAGGGAAGAAGGGGACCCTCCAAGGGTTTCACGTTCAACCGCAAAAAGGGCGAGAAAGGTTTCTCTTGGTGATAACACAGAAGCTTCTGAGGTAGGAATCTCAAATGACTTCCTTCAAAAAGCAAAGATAATTCAAGAAAACCTCCGAATATACCTTACTAAAGCTGACAAAAGTATTAAAAATAAAGACCAAAACCACATTAATGGCAAAATACAGTGGTTCATTGACGCTATTGAATCGTTGGAGGAAAGGACAAAGCAGTACAAAGTTAAGAGTGAGGGCTTATCTTTACTTGTCCATAAAGCGGTTCAGGAAACACTTACCTCGCCTTCAGTACATTCGATGATAACCAGCATCGTAATAGAGAAAACAGTGCCGAAGGTTATAGAATCTCTCTCAGGAACCACTATAAAATCTAATGGTGCCCTCGCCATCCCTGGAAAAAGCAACGAAAAGTCATCCGCGACTAACGTGACCCCGCCTGAGCCTTTACCAGCCGCAGTTCCTTTTACAGTCGTTAAGAGCAAAAGAAACAGGAAAAAGACTAAAAAGTCTACCGGTCCCGAAAGCCTACAAACTGAAAATGAAACGCATAAGACAGAGGCGGAATCTTTGACTGGGTCCGGTCCAAATCAGCCGAAGTCATTGGCCGAAATAGTACGAAAATTGCCTTTAAAACCTACTCAGTCCCTCAAGCCGGCGTTTATTACTATTAGCGGTACCGGTAAGAGTCCGGTGGACATTATCAATGCCCTGCCTTCCCCCACAGAAATAGGTGTTAAGGCTGAAATTGTTCGAGCAACCAAAGGTGGTTCCGTTTTAGTCCGATTAGAAGACAGTACCCATGCCACTAAAATAATTGGTTGGCAGGGATTACGGGAGAAAGGTTTTCAGGCAAAACTAGCACAAAGAAAGAAACCTAAGATTGAGGTGAGGGGTGTCCCTCACTCATGGGGCTCAGCTGAATTAACGAGATTTTTGTGGGGAAGAATAAACGAGAAGTCAGTCCCTACTACACTCATTAATGATGATATACGGCCATTATTATCCTCAGTATCTAGGAATGGACTAAGTAGGAACTGGGTACTCGAAGTTCACCCAATGGTGAGGTTCCAGCTGTTGGAAATGGCAGCTTTAGATGGAGGATGGTGGTCCATGACGTTTAAGGATTACCTCGACGCCCCTCGTTGCACAAAGTGCCAAGGCTATGGACACACGAAGGCTACCTGTACGGTGGATACCGTTGTATGCATATGGTGTGCAGCCAATGGACACATACTCAAGGACTGTCCAAGGAAGAAGGAACAAACTGGCCCGACTTGTATTAACTGTGTGCGGGCGAGTGCACCGCAAAGCCAAACGAAGCATAAAGCGGGCAGCCGAGAGTGCCCTGTACACTTAAGATGGTCAAATGAGGTGGCTAAGAGGACCTACTATGAATAATATCACCATTCTCCAGCTCAACATGGGCCGTCGTCGCATTGTAGCGGATGAGTTGAGGGCTCTTGTTGGACGATATGATGTTATGGCGATTCAAGAACCGAGCTGCCGTGGGAACATGGTCACGGGGTTTGGCCTCACATCGAGGGTTATAGCCCTGAGCAGTGGAGAGAGGAGGCCCAGGGCAGCTATAGTGGTAAATAACCCAAACCTCGATGTGATGGATCTGAGGCAGTTTACCACGGCGGATTGTGTCGCATGTTATATCAAATGGGGTAATATTACCTTTACGTTGGTTTCATCATATTTTCCTGACGGAGGTGATATAGACAACGACATATCTGCAATGGAGATGATCACGGCTTGCTATAGAAACATCATCATCTGCTCAGATACCAACTCCTGGAACACGGTCTGGGGATCCAATCAAACGAATAGAAGAGGCGTTAAACTTGGAGAATTCATTGACCGAAGGCAGCTAGTGGTAATGAATGATCCCTCTGCCTTGCCAACGTTTTCTAGCGCTCGAGGGCAGAGCTGGATTGATGTAACACTGGCATCACCGGTGCTAGCGAGTCGCATCAACGATTGGATCCTCCGATCTGAGACGAGTTCCGACCACCAAGCGATAGCTTTTAAGCTGGTGGAAAATATGGAACGTTCCCACGGCATCGCTATGGGTTATTTAACCCGAAGGGCAAATTGGAAAGCCTTCCGGTCAACGCTGGAGGAAAAATTAGTAGATGAAGAATGGGATGAAGCGGAGACGGACCAGACAGATAGTCTAGATTATAGGGTCTCTAGGATCACAGATGTCATCCGTGACGCCGCTGAGGAATCTCTCCAGCAACGGAAGGTGAGAGCTCGACCTATCCCATGGTGGACGCCGGCCTTAACTGCTATGAAGAGAGAGCTCTACAAGGCCCGGCGGTCCTATCAAAAGTGTGGTAGTGAGGAGAGGCGCGCCACACTTCGCGACGAGTATAGGTCCAAGTCCAGAACATACCGAAACGAAGTGCGCTCTCGAAAAAGGAAGTCTTGGGACGAGTTCATTATTGAAGAATCGTCCAAAAACCCCTGGGGTATCCCTTACAGAGTTGCCTTGGGTAAGTTAAATCCACAACAGGTAATAGCCGCATTGAAACGCGGAGCTACTCAGGCAACCACTCTGGAGGAGACGGCAAAAACGTTCATTGCGGAAACCTACCCCAGGGATGATCCGTCCCAAGATAATGAAGAGGAGAGATACATTAGACGCACTACGGTATGCCCACCAGGTACGGACCTATGCCCACCATGGGACATATGGGATCTCCGTGCTGCCGTGGATAGGCAAAGGACTGGTCGAGCTCCTGGCTTGGATTCGATAGACACAGCAATACTAAGGAATAGTATCCCCTACATTGAACAAAGGCTGTTAGCATTGTTCAATGATTGCCTAGACAGGGGTTACTTCCCTAAAATATGGAAGATTGCTGATGTTAGACTCCTTTATAAGGGAGGAGATAAGGACAAGCAGTTAGCGAAGTCATATAGGCCTATATGTCTCCTTCCTATAATGAGTAAATTGTTGGAGACCTTGCTGATGAGGAGTCTACGACCAGTCTTCTTAAGAGCTAGCCATCCACGACAGTACGGATGCACTAAAGGTAGGGGAACCGCAGATGCTCTGCTCAGAGTGCGCCGTGACGTTGAAGAGAAGGCGGAGAAGTATGTAATGCTTCTCCTGTTTGATATATCCTCCGCCTTCGATAGCGTTTGGTGGCCGAGTGTACTCCAGCAGTTGCAAAAGTATGAAGCTCCCAGCAACCTGTACGACCTCTTAAGAAGCTATCTAGAAGACCGTAAATTAATGATAAAAGGTAACTTCTTTGCTGTAGAGGATTCTGTAGAAAGAGGATGCCCACAAGGGTCTGTACTAGGTCCAGCCTTGTGGAAACTGGTATTTGACGAGCTGCTGGGAGTACTGGAAGAGCAGCGGTTCCCCGCCACTGCTTACGTAGACGATCTCGCAGTCGTGGTGGCATCGAACAGCAGAGCCAGATTAAAGGAAGAGGCTGAACGGTGCGCCAACCTTGTAGGAGAATGGTGCGAGAGAAAGAAGATGAAGATGGCGGCTTCAAAGACTCAGTCCGTTCTTTTGAGGGGTAAGACTGACAGGGCCCACCCTATCACTCTGAATATACAGAGAGAAACGATACGTCCAAGTGAGGCGGTCACCTATCTTGGGATAAGGACTGGAAGAAAGTTTAACTTCACCCCTCACTTGGACTATCTGAGAAGTAGAGTGGCCCTGGCTCTTAATGGACTGAGTCGCATCGGGGGCGCCTTTTGGGGTCTCAGATACCCAGCCACTTTGGCTATTTATAACGGAGTTATCTTGGGTATCCTGAGATATGCGTCCCCTGCGTGGAGTCAGACTCTCTCGCACCTACAGAAGAAAAGGTTGGCGACGATCCAGCGTATGGCTCTGCTGCGTGTCACTAGGGCGTACCGGTCAGTATCTCATGAGGCGGTACAAGTCTTAGCCGGAAGTATTCCAATCGATCTTCAACTTCGTGAAGACTACTTTCGGCACGAAATGAAGAGAGATGGCTTGGTGGATCTACCGGCTAATCTCCGAGTGAGGATCAGTGAAGACCCAAGCAGATGGAAGAGGATTCTCCGGGAATGCACATTAGAAGAATGGAACCGGCGTTGGATGACAACGCCAAAAGGATCAACCCTAAGGAAATACTTCCCCACCGTCGGTTCAAGAATGGAAACTACATGGCTCCTCCCGGACTATTGGGTCTCGCAATTCCTCACGGGGCATGGGGGATTCCGAGCAAAGCTTGTTCAACATGGTAAGAACATTGATCCCCTATGCCCAAGTTGTAGGGTACCGGAGACCGCCGAGCACGTCTTATTAGCCTGTACCGCCTATGAGGCATTGAGGGCTAAGTTGCTGAGGGAGACTGGGCTCTATGTCTTATCAGAGCGCGATCTACCTCAGCTAGTGACCAGAGAGAACTACCCGCACTACAAGGCCTTTGTGTACGGGTGGAAAGACATCATTGGCCCAGCCCACTTCTATTTGGGTAGAAGAGAAGAAGCTCCACCACAGAGGATGGAAGAGCCAAGCTAAACAGAAAATCTTATTGTATCGATTGCAGTATTGGCTAGTTATGCACACACGTGTAGCTATCCAATACTGCAAACACTCGTATTGCCAAACTGGCAGGGCAGAGATTTAAATAAATAAATAAATAAATAAGATTATTGAACGAATAAAGCAGTGTTTATTCAGAAGCCGTGAGTATTGTTTCTCGATCCTTTTTCCTTCTTTTTTTTTTGTTTTTAAAGTCCGCCGACGCTTAACTTATATATATATATATATATATATATATATATATATATATATATATATATATATATATATATATATATGTATATATATATATATATATGTGATATATTTCATGTTTTCTTTATTTTTGATTGATATTATTTTTGTAAGCATTGTTTAAAGTATAAATTATGATATTGAAATGGGGACAATCTTCTCAGACCTTGAGTATTATTTAAATCCAATATCAGTAAATATTGTCATTTTATATGGGTCAAAATGATAGACACACTTGTTGTTGTTTACTATTTTCTCAATCCTCTAGAGTTGAAATCGTTAAAATATCATTTCTACTTCATAGCAGTGTTAGGTTTGTTTCAAAATATACCTCAATAGAACTTAAGTTATGGGCAAAAATAAGTGTTTCTTCGAAGAAGAGCGCCGTTTGATTTCTTTACCCTACAAGGACGGGATGAGTTGAAGGCAAATATCCCGTCGAATCAAGCGGGGTTTTTCTCGCGAAGTTCATTTGGCACGGGGAGACACATGGAACCCACCGTTCTACTGGGAGACCCTCTGCTTTGACATTACGAGGAAGCTGGAGTTCAAACAAAGCTAAGAAATGCCCAAAGATTATTAAAAAGGTCAAAAACAATAGTTAGAAAAAAATTGAAAAGAAAGCCAGTTTTGAGTACCTATCGCAAATTAGCCCGGATGACCTTTGCTTGTAATGTCATGTCATGGACTGAATTACTGAGTCAGGGACTGAGTGGAAGAAAGTCATATTTAGTGATGAAAAAGAAAATTCATTCTGAATGGGCCAGATGGATTTTCGTGTTATTATCATGACTTAAAATAAGAAAAAAATGTATCAAGGCGTCAAATAGTAGGAGGAGTAATTATGGTTTGGGCATCAATTGGCTACAAAAAGGAAGGAAATTTGGTATTTGTTTCATCAAGAGTAAACTCAGCTGAATATAAAAAATTGTTAGAGGAACAATAGTTGACTTTTAATGACATGTCTGAAAGCATACCAGTTTTCCAGGAAGATAACGCTCCAATACATTCAGCAAAAACTATTATAGACTGGTTTACTAGCAACAACATTGCCAAACTGGACTGGCCTGCTGTCTCTCCATACCTGAACATTATCAAAAATGTTTGGGGAACTCTTTCAAGAAGGGTTTACTCTGAGTCAAGACAGTTCGGAACAATCAAGAATTTGAAATCTACAATTCTGGCATCAAGGGAACAATTGCCTCAACAATCAAACAATTGAAACAATCAAACAATTGCACGATTCATTACCAAACATAATTTTTTAACTAACAAATGGTGGTGGAAAGGCCACTAAGTATTAAAATGAGTTTAATTTATTTTTACCAAGGAGCGTGTCTAACATTTTAACTTCCAGTCCAACTAAAATGTATATATTTTTTGCTTGAAAAGAAAAATACAAGCAGGCTGCTGATTAACTTCAGGTGAGTGATATATTATTTTAATACTGTTTAACGGGTTATTTGAAAAGATGAGAGAATAAGGATAACAATTTTTGAAGTGTTTCTAATATTTTGGCAGTGAAGTTAAATAAATTTGCTGCAGTGAATCGAAAAATGAGGCATCGGCTCAGTCACAAGACAGTTACATGCTTCACATACTTGGTTAGATTTAATAGTGATGGAATCATCTTTTATGTATACGTTCAAAAATTCACTGTTTCCTACTCTTGAACGACTGAGGATCTTAGTTTGTTCAAATTTAGAGCCGTGAACTGTGATAGTCCTCTGTGATAGTCCTCTAGACCGATTGTTTTAAAGGAACAGATTTTTTTGTATCTTGATTTAGCATTTAACACACTGTCGATGTCCTTAGATGCGTGATGATTCTTCATTTTTTCAATGATTTCATCTTTGAACCTCACCAAATCTAGAGAGAAAACACTCGAGAACAGCTCCTGACATCTCAGTTCCGTCACAATCATTTTTATTTGGGTAACCCAGTTATAAATTGGATTAGATTTTCCTCCGGATGTATCTAGAGCTCTAAGCCTATTAAAGCATCATCTACAATAGGTAGTCTATCATAACTCGTTAAGCTCAGCTTTGTCCAATAATTAATTACATTTTTTAACACATCAACGCTTAATGGAGATCTTCCAGTTTCAAGGCGAGCCACATAGTTCAGTGTATTTCTTGGCCAATGGAATAATGACTTAAAAAATCTAACCTGTGCCCTCTTCAAAACCTCCGGGTATTTTGGTCCCCAGCTCTCTGTATAGCAGTGTAGATGAGACTATAGAGTTAAAGGAGTCGCTTTTTCCATTTCTTAGAATTGTCATTACTTTGGTTGCTATAACTGATGATCTTTGCAAGACATGTTCTGCGGCTTTCTCGAATTTTCCAGAGGAAGGAAAAGGTATTCCTAGATACGTGGCGTTCCTTGTATATTCAAGACTTGTGTTTCGCCAAACTACACCAACACCTTAGATTTAGGGTTAATGATTTTTCATTACAATACTCGCTCAGTATATTGATGTTTCTTTGTGCACCATGCCAGGAATTACTGAGGAGGACAATATCATCCACTAACAAAAGCATGACTACTTCATGACAGCTCCTCGGTCACGAAAGTACTGAACGATATCCGACACAAACAGGATAAATAATGCAGGACTAAGGCTCTTTCAAGGCCCAGGCTAATACCAACTTATTTTGAAAGCTCATATTTTAGCTTTATCCGCATCGATGAAGCATTACAAAGTTTTTTTGAGAAGTCTAACTAGTTTTCCTCCCATTCCGAGACAAAAAAGCCTTTCCCAAAGCAAGTTTCGGTTAATAGAATCGAAGGCCTTCCTCAGATCCACAAATACTGTGTAAACATAATTGCCTTTTAACCTCAGATTAATGTTGATAACTGGCATCAATGTGAATATGTGATCAATGCATCCCTCCATGAAATCAGCCTGTTCCTCCTGTATTAATTTTTCTGATTCTGCCCATATCATAATTCTATTCCTCAGGATGCTAGTGACTAACTATGTTAGAGTGTTAAGCAAGGATATGACTTTGTAGTTGTTTGACTTTTTATTACCTTTATTATACCGAAGATACAAGTTAGCTTTTGCCCACATTCCTGGAATTTATTCAGAATTTAATATCTTATTAAATAAATTTAGCAAGTAGTGCTCCCAAGAGCGGTTGAGACATTTAACAACTTTTTAACTGATAATATCAGGCGCTACAGATTTCTTTTTTTTTACTGGCACCAATGCTGTATTGCAGTTCTTCTAATGATATATAGATATGGAGAAGTGGATGAGTAACAGAGAAATAGTATGTTTCATGTATGCTTTTATGAATATATAGATTCGAGTAATAGCGGCACCAATCAGTTAGACTAATTTCAGTATTTTGGGTGTGAAATGGTATCAACATACTCACCGTCTTTCAAAATTGTTCACCATTTTTTGCATTTATTAAATTTGCAATTGCTGACGATCTAAATTCCAATTTTTTATAACATTCTTTTTATAACATTTTTTTTATAACATTCTTGATCGAACCATTGGTGTTTCGATATCCCCCCATGGTATGTGAGGCCAGTCAGCCTACTGGAGGCAACTCACACCGACCGGGCGTTTCATGTTCTTAACTGTTTGTAAAAGTTAATGGTAGTGTATAGATGTAAAGATTGGTACCTATTAAAGCCTGCACTGACAGTTTGGTCGACTTATTATTTTCAATTTCCCCATGATATTTTGTTGTTCAGAAAATATTATATTCTTCTAATCTATTTAAGTTGTCACACACTCTCTCTTGTTATCAACATTTAACAAATTCCCAAAAGATCTCTAAAATTAACACTTTTTATTTGGTTTGATTGAATTAATATTTACAATTTAGAATTAACAGCTCGTTTTCATTTAAAAAGGATTTTTTTCGTTAAACAACGAAGTACATACTTTTTATATTATGCTTTTCCAAAATGAAGTGTTAGATGTGAAAGAGTAATTTGAAAACTAATTTTTGCTAATCAACATTTGGCGTAGTGACTGTACTATTTAAATTTAACTTTTCTTCGATGAGGTTTGGCAGAAGAAAATGTATTGGCATCAAACATTTGCATTTTTTAAACGTTATAATTAAAAATACTCAATTTTGTAAAATAATACAAAGCTTTTATTTATTTTCATGGTATAAGAGGACAACAAATATATATATATATATATATATATATATATATATATATATATATATATATATATATGATTCCGAAATATCTGTATATTGTAGAAATGTCAGAGATGGTATAGTGTGGCCTCCACTAGGCCCGCTCACCTTCTACGTCTTTATATCCACAATTTTCTTCCTTCTTATTTTGAATTTTATTGTGAATAAATCCTGAAACTATGTAATCTTTTTTCATGGAAATTTTCTAAGATGAATGTCATATATATATATATATATATATATATATATATATATATATATATATATATATATATATATATATATATATGTATACCTTATATTTCAATATTACGCAATCACGCTCGTTGTTTATTATAAACTATTTACGTTCTTAAACGAAACCAATATTAATCAAAACTGAACATTGAAACATTAAGGTATCGGTTGGATATATTCTAAATTTTATATGTTATTGAATATATTAAAAACGACATAACCAGTTGAAAAAAAATAAAATAAATACACTCTTCAACAATATATAACTCAATTTTTCCGTGGTTTTGCAGTTCTTTTAGAACCTGAATCTCTTTTAGAATAATTTTAAAAACCTTTCCTATAAAAACCTCCAAATAGGGTTTGTCACGTAATAATATTCTTGATGTCACTGATCGGCATGTTTCGCTATCGTTTTCTTTGCCATCTTCCTGGCTTGACTTTCAAAAACTGTTTGGGAAGTCTACCTTCGGAATTTTTTTTTGTTTACGTATTCTACTCGTCTAAACAACTGGAAAACAGGTCCTAATTTACAATTTTTAACCAAGGTGATCTGATATCTAACGCTATTCGATAAAAAATGTTCAGTATTATATGAGATCGAGTTAAAACAATGGATTTAAAACTCGTATAAAATAACGTTAATATTTTGGACCAGGTAACCATTCGAAGGATGGGAAGTATTTCATAGTGCGTGATTTATTCGTAAGAACTATACGACATTTATCAATGCAAATTGCTCCATTAAGAAGCGCAAAAAAACAAAACAAAACAAGCAGTTTGATAAATTGTCGAATGTAATTATGTTTCGGGTTTAGGTGAGATGGTTATTTACTGATTGGACGACGTGGTATCTTCTGCGTCTAATTGTTGATGACGTTAAGCAACTGCCACACTTAAAATAATTGTGTCATTATCATGAAGGCTACATTAATACTATAATTTGATGTTCCTCATTTTCAACATTATTTTATCAAATATTTAAATATTAATTGAAATTTAAGTATCTAAAAGAAAATTTCATCTATTCATTTATTTGAGTACATATTAAGATTTTGGCCCGCCAGATTTAAACTCTGTTTAATAGTCCGTGGTAAGACCCCTTTTTATCGAACTATTAAG